TGATGGTAGGATTGCTGGTGTCTTTTTTGTCTCAAACATGAAAGATTTCAGGTACGTCTTGCTACTTCTACTTACACTTAGGTCACACTACGCATACATTTTTTTTTTCAACAAGTCGGCCGTCTCCCACCGAGGCAGGGTGACAAAAAGAGAAAGAAAATCCCCAGAAAGAAAATACTTTCATCATCATTCAACACTTTCACCTCACTCACACATAATCACTGTTTTCACAGAGGTGCCCAGAATACAACAGCTTAGAAGCATATACATATAAAAATACACAATATATCTCTCTAAACTGCCAATATCCCAAACCCCTCCTTTAGAGTGCGGGCATTGTACAGGAGGGCCCCAATTATACGGCTGGTTAGGTTCCAGGCTACCGCCGTAAAGCGGAAACCGCCGTAAAGTGGAACACCCTTTTTTTTCCACTTACAAATGCATACAAACACTAGATAAGTTTACACTAACATATATTAAGTTAGCAATAGAACCAGGCATCAAAAAACAATAAAAAAGTACAATACACACATAGTGCACTCATTACTTACCTTAAAATATTTATAGTCTTAATCTAGGGTGAGACAAGTAGTATTTATTGTAAGAAATCAAGTGTGGTATGTATGGTAGTCAGCCAGGCTACCATACCAGGCCACCCCACCCACACATACAATTCTATGATATTTAAGCATCCCAGAGCGATAAAATGTATATACAGTTCACTCATTACTTACCTTAAAATATAGGGTGAGATGAATAGTATTTATTGTAAAAAATCAAGTGTGGTATGTATGGTAGTCAGCCGGGCTACCATACCAGGCCAACCCACCTACACATAATATTCTATTACATTTAAGCATCCCAGAGCGATAAAATGTATACAGTGGACCCCCGCATAACGATTACCTCCGAATGCGACCAATTATGTAAGTGTATTTATGTAAGTGCGTTTGTACGTGTATGTTTGGGGTTCTGAAATGGACTAATCTACTTCACAATATTTCTTATGGGAACAAATTCGGTCAGTACTGGCACCTGAACATACTTCTGGAGTGAAAAAATATCGTTAACCGGGGGTCCACTGTATACAGTTCACTCATTACTTACCTTAAAATATTTGTAGTCTTAATGTAGGGTCAGGAGTAAGTAAATGAGATAAAACGAATAAATGAGAGAGAGAAAGAATGAGTGCATGAGAGAGTACAGGCTCAGAGTTATGTAAACAAACCAGGCGAAGGTAAGTTTTGTAAACGAAGTGTACACGTCTGGTTTGTGTACAAGTTACATTGTGTACAGGTTGTCTCTACATTGATACGGTAGAATAAATAAAGAAGAACACTCCCATTCTCATGTAACATCATTTTGAGAAGAAATGATGCTCTGAGTGAAGGCAATGGAAATAAGTCACTCTGACTTTTTTGGGTTATCCTAGGTTCTCTACACATATGTTATGTATGATAATCTATGTAACTGTATTTGTGTATACCTGAATAAACTTACTTACATACATACGAAAGGAATAATTTTCTACAGTTACCCCCAGTAACACATTTTCTCTTATGTTAGATTAGAGAAAATGTTATTCTTGGCATCACTTGTACAAGTTATCTGGCTACCACATCTCATATTTATGTTTATTTATTCTATTGTAGGGTGTATTTATCATCTTTTCATGTTATGTATCATGTTTATTATATAATTTTGAAAAAATATGGATGGATTAATGAAAATGTGTATATTAACGTAATATACAACATTTAATGAGACTCTGTGATGATTATTATTATTAGCATTTCTAATATGGCGTCACTTGTGCAAGTCGTCTGCTACCACATCTCATATTTATGTTTATTTATTCTATTGTGGGGTGTATTTATCATCTTATGTTATGTATCGTGTTTATTATATAATTTTGAAAAAATATCATAGATGGATTAATGAAAATGTGTATTTAACGTAATATACGACATTTAAATGAGACTCGATGATTATTATTATCATTACTAATATGACGTCTGGAGACATAAGACACTCTTACTGATTTTAATGTGTACCTGCATGCCAGCACAGTATGTAAGTTTATTTAAGTACAGGTATACATAAGTATAATTATCAGAGTATATATAAAATATGAAATAACTTTTAAAAACATTTGAAATTTTGGAGTTTCCAGACAAAATGGAGAGACTTAGTGCTTACTGAGCTCATGAAGAATGTAAACAAACAAGGTGGGGCGCAGTGACCGTATTAGAAAGTCAGGTGGGGGGAGCCGTATAGCGAGTTTTGGTCATAATTTGAAATGACTGTATTAGCGGAACGCCGTAAAGTGAAACGCCGTAAAGCGGGGCCCTGCTGTACTTCCCATTTCCAGGACTCAAGTCCGGTTACATAAAATAACCGGTTCCCCTGAATCCCTTCACTAAATATTACCCTGCTCACACTCCAACAGATCGTCAGGTCCCAAATACCATTCGTCTCCATTCACTATCTAACACGCTCACGCACGCTTGCTGGAAGTCCAAACCCCCTCGCCCACAACACCTCCTTTACCCCCCTCCCTCCAACCCCTTCGAGGACGACCCCTACCTCGCCTTCCTTCCCCTATAGATTTATACGCTCTCCATGTCATTCTACTTTGTTCCATTCTCTCTAAATGACCAAACCACCTTAACAACCCCTCTTCAGCCCTCTGACTAATACTTTTATTAACTCCACACCTTCTCCTAATTTCCACTCTCCGAATTCTCTGCATAATATTTACACCACACATTGCCCTTAGACAAAACATCTCCACCACCTCCAACCGCCTCCTTGCTGCAGCATTTACAATCCAAGCTTCACATCCATGTAAGTGTTGGTACCACTATACTTTCATACATTCCCTTCTTTGCCTCCATAGATAATGTTTTTTGTCTCCACATATACCTCAATGCACCACTCACCTTTTTTCCTTCATCAGTTCTATGGTTAACCTCATCCTTCATAAATCCATCCGCTGACACGTCAACTCCCAAATATCTGAAAGCATTCACTTCTTCCATTCTCCTCCTCTCCAATTTAATATTAAATTTTTCTTTATCTAAATCATTTGATACCCTCATCACCTTACTCTTGTCTATGATCACTTTCAACTTTCTACCTTTACACACAGGACTTAAAAAAATTTAAGAAAATGAGGAAAAATACACATCCTCAGTGGTTTTGTTTTAATTTGTTGGGCTGTTGGGCCCCAAGAAAACATTCACCATTCTTTTTTGCTTGCCTTTCCATTAGTGGACAGATCATTTCAGTCCAATGTTGATCCAACAAACTGAAGCATCCCACTTCTACTAAAGTCCAGAAGGTGATTCCTAGTCTTTTCACTGATATTGCTAACTTTTATCTAACAAAGCAGTATGCATGCTAGATATTCAAACCAATACATCTTTCACTACTGCCTCCCAACTCCTTCACATGTCCTTCAATGGCCTTTCAGTACACCAGATTTATAAAGATAAGCAGTAAAATGTGAACGTAAGTCTATTGTGTGAATTTTCAGCATAAATAAATAAACTACACAATAAAAACTAGAAGCAAATTATAACTAAAGAAAAAAAAGCCATAACAGCGCTAAACCAAAATGACCTTTTCATTTTCAAATCTCATCACTGTCTTGCCAGAGGAGTGCTGCCAATACCACAGTTCAGATGTCTCCCTAAACCAAACATATTCCTACCCCTCCTTCAGAATGCAGGTACTGTAAATCCCACTACCATGACTCAAGTTCGGCTAACCGATTTCCCTGAATACCTCCACAAAAAGTTACCTTCCTCATACTAAAACAGCTTGTCAAGTCTGTAATACACACACACATGACTGCTGAATGTCCAAGCCCCTTGCACACAAAACTTCCTTTACCCCCTCCCCCAAACTTTTTTTTTAGGGTGACCCCCTAACCAGCCTTCCATCCACTACAGATTTATATACCCTAAGTGTCATCCTAGTTTACTCCATTCTCTCTAAATGCCCAAACCACCTCAACAACTATTCCTCAGCCCTCTGGGTAACACATTTAGTAATCTCCAAACTACGAATTCCCTGCATAATACATACACCCCACATTGCCCTCGAGCACATCTCCACTGCCTCCAGCCTCCTCCTGGCTGCAATACTCACAATCCACGATTCACACCCACATAAATGTTGGTATCACCATATTCTCATACATTTTCCTCTTTGCCTCCATGGATAACATTCTTTGTCTCCACCCACCTTTCTGCCTTCATCAATTCTATGGTTCACCTTATCTGTCGTATACCCATCTGCCGATGAATCCACTCCCAAATATATGAACACATTCACTTCCTCCATACTCCCTCCTTCCAATCTAATATTCAATTTTACATTATCTAACTTTTTTGTTACTCTCATCACCTAGCTCTTTCTTATCTTCACTTTCAATTTCCTTCCTTCACATGCATTCCCAAATACATCCACCAACATTTGCAACTTATTGTCAGAATCTCCCAAAAGTAGTGTCATCAGCAAATAGCAACTGTGTCAGCCCCATTTTTGTATTAGATGCTGTATACTATTTTAATCCCACACCTGTCCCCAACACCTTAGCATACCTCTTTTGCAACCCCATCTATAAATACGTTAAAACCATGGTGATCGAATGTATCCCTGCCTAAGGCCAACTTATATTCGAAAATAATCTCCCTCTACTATATACCCTAACCTGAGCCTCGCTATCCTCAAAAATTCTTAACTGTATTCAGTAACTGACCACCTATTCCATAAACTTACAACATTTACCACATTGCTTCCCTATCCACCCTATCATACGTCTTTTCTTAATCTACAAATGCAACAAAAACTTCCTTACCTATATATAATTATAATTCACTTATATGCTTAAATGTAAACATTTAAGCCTGCTTAGTCATCTACGATCCTGCTCTCTGCCTTACGTAAATCTCTATTAAAATGCAAAAATTACTGAAAATGATACAACTTACCATAAATGTGAGCATGACAATGAAGCAGATGCCTATGGTGATAGCAAAGGGTACCAAGTAGTTTTGAAGATTGAATGGAAGGTCATCAGTAATCTCCAGGATATACCTACAGAGAATATGCCAGTGTCAACACTACAGATATAAAAGCCTTTGAAATATAATGAGCTGTGGGCAAATTATGTACATATATACATGGAAATGGTAAAAAAATTAATTTAAATTATGGAGACAAATTATTAAGGTATTAGCTTAGTGTTAGAGGGTAACAATGTTAAGAGTTACAGAAGCAAGTAACCAAGCTGCAGCATTTAAAAACTAGCATAGTATCTATTCAAATTTACACAAGATTTTGGTGTAAAGAATACCAATACATGTATTTCCAAAGCATTTTTTTTTTTAACACATCGGCCGTTTCCCACCAGGGCAGGGTGACCCAAAAAGAAAGAAAAAAAAATTTAATCATCATTCAACACTTTCACCATTACTCATACATAATCACTGTCTTTGCAGAAGCACTCAGATACCACAGTTTAGATGTCCCTCCAAATTGCCAATATCCCAAACCCGTCCTTTAAAGTGCAGGCTCTGTACCTCCCATTTTCAGGACTCAAGTCCAGGTAACCAGTTTCTCTGAATTCCTTCACAAAATATTATCCTAAGAAAATACAGGTCAACAATATAAAAATAAGTCATGTTATTGGCTTTTCAACTCGCACTGTTTGCAGGGAAAAACAACTGTACAAAGGACGGCTATATTTAGTATTTTTGCATTGTGTTTCAGCTGGGGTTCATCAGTACGTCATATGTAAATACAGGGGTGTGTCACCTGAAGCATTTGTAAATTGGGGCCCTTCTCCATGATGCTATTCAAGCAGATATGGTCCAGGTTCAAGAAGAGCAAAGGAGGTATTATCAACTAAGCAGCCTGGTTTACCTATTAGAAAAAAAAAATCCTGCCCCTTTATACTCCCCCCCCCTCCAAGCTTTAAGAGCAGGTATGAAGAATCCCACGAGGCTAGGAAGCAAATCTGGCAAGCTGAGACTTAACCTCAGTAGTCACATAGGCGAGTATAACCCCCCCCCCCCATACACACATTTTAGCTGATGCTCATCCTGTCTCTGAGTGCTACTCTAAAACTATATTAAATACTGTACTGTGAAGTACTGTATCATTATATTAGTGTATCAAGACCTATTATGATACACAACCCCTAGGTCATAGGAAAAATAGAAATTCCCAAATTCTTCTTCTGTACTTTAAGTGTCAGACTTACCCTTTATCATAAAGGAAATTTTCGATAATCATAAATGCATCTTCTTGGCCAATGAAGACTGATGGTATGCTGACTTTCTCTGATAAACTTTGATTGTCAGAACCCATGGGTTCTGCAAAAAAAAAAAAAAAATTATTTGATAATTCAATGCACTTTATACGATTAATACTGTATAAAACATTTTACTTCAATCAAGATAAGTTTCTCCACCTAAGCATTGTCTTTATACCTTAACAAAATGGTATTAATCTACATAGAAAAGTTGAAATATGCCCTAAAATAAATTTCCACATACATGACCTGTATATGTTTAAGTATAACCTTATAGTGTGTATATAGTAGAACCCCAGTATCCATGGTTTCAGTTTCCACTGTTTCAGTTATCCACGGTATAACTTGGTTAAAAAATATTAAGGAGATTGCTATCTGAGGTTTCATTTCTTTTATTTTTGTCCAATTTCATTCATTTTATTTCTCGTCTAATTTCATTAATTTTTTACTATTTGAATAAGAGTGCATAAAACATAGGCATATAAAGATTCATTAAGACAGATCAACAAACAAATTAAAAACAAGAAAACTGAAAATTGGATTTGGCAGCAAAAGAAGACATACTGGGACTGCCAAAAGAAAGGCAGAAAGATGGATAAAGACAGAGACGCAGTCGGTCAAGCAGTCAGTCGGTCAAGCAGTCAGTCACTGCAGCAGCTGGTGATGGTGGAATGTATTTTATTATTATTTAATGTTTGTAATGTCTTGTGCATAATATATCAATTAAACTATGAATGTCCATGGTAGGTCTTTGAACGTATCGTCCACAGATACAGGGGGGTACTGTACACAAACTAACTTTTTTGCCCCCCCCCCCCAAATAACCTTAATTTTTAATATATCTTGTTAAAAACTTTATCCTAGTTTTTAAGGACTTTAAAAGGATTTAAATGGTTCTGATGCAAAATATATATTAGCCAAAGCTATTCAAGACAATGAAAGCAAAAACAGCACCAAAAACTTAACAATATTTCTGGGGAAAAAAAAAATATAAAAAATAATCAGCCCAAATGCTTGACAAAATATAACACAGAAGCACTTACTGACTCATGCCAGACAGGTCCTACTCACACCCACCCATTAGATAAGAGCACAAGAATGAAGGAGCACTACAGTAGGATTACTGGCCCATGCTAGGCAGATCTTACTCGTATACACCCATTACACAAGAATAAGAATTTTACTGCAGTAAGCCCACTGGCTCATGCATAGCAGGCCCTACTTACATCCAATACTTTTTTTTAACACGCTAGGGTGACCCAAAAAAGAAACACTTTCACCATCAATCACACTATCACCGTCTTGCCAGAGGCATGAAGATAAGACTGTAAAATGTATGTTTGGTAAATAAATGGTGATTTATTATATTGCTTTTGTTGTCTTCACAATTATCCACTTCTAACAAAGGTCATTGACTTATCAGAGTTAAGTGTGACAGAAATGAATATATGTAGGGTGTGTAAAGGTAGAAAGTTGAGAGTGAATATAGATAAGAGTAAGGTGATGAGGGTATCAAATGATTTAGAAAAAGAAAAATTGGATATCACACTGGAGAGAGGGAGTATGGAAGAAGTGAATGTTTTCAGGTATTTAGAAGTTGACGTGTCAGCGGATGGGTTTATGAAGGACAAGGTTAACCACAGAATTGATGAAGGGAAAAAAGGCGAGTGGTAGGTTGAGATATATGTGGAGACAAAAAATGTTATCTATGGAGGCAAAGAAGGGAATGTATGAAAGTATAGTGGTACCAACATTCTTATATGGGTGTGAAGTTTGGGTTGTAAATGCTGCAGCGAGGAGGCGGTTGGAGGCAGTGGAGATGTCCTGTCTAAGGGCAATGTGTGGTGTAAATATTATGCAGAGAATTCCGAGTGTGGAAATTAGGAGAAGGTGAGAGGTTAATAAAAGTATTAGTCAGAGGACTGAAGAGGGGTTGTTGAGGTGGTTTGGTCATTTAGAGAATGGATCAAAGAAGAATGGCATGGAGAGCGTATAAATCTGTAGGGTAAGGATGGTGGGGTAGCGGTCATCCTCAAAAAGGCTGGAGGGAGGGGGTAAAGGAGGTTTTGTGGGCGAGGGGCTTGAACTTCCAGCAAGCATGCTTGAGCATGTTAGATAGGAGTGAATGGAGATGAATGGGTTTTGGGACCTGATGAGCTGTTGGAATGTGAGCAAGGTAATATTTAGTGAAGGGATTCAGGGAAACCGGTTATTTTTACATAGCCGGACTTGAGTACTGAATATAGGAAGTACAATGCCTGCACTTTAAAGGAGGGGTTTGGGATATTGGCAGTTTGGACGGATATGTTATATATCTTTATATATGCTTCTAAACTTGTACGTATCCGGGCGTCTCTGCAAAGACAGTGATTATGTACGAGTGAGGTGAAAGTGTTGAATGATGAAAGTATTTTCTTTTTAGGGATTTTCTTTCTTTTTGGGTCACCCTGCCTCGGTGGGAGACAGCAAACTTGTTAAAAAAAAAAATACACCAAATCTCTTATGAGACAACAATGCACTATTCAACACACAAACAAAAGGAATAAGAAACACAACACTTACGTATAGAATTTGAACCAACATTGTGAACAATAACAGCATCATAGCCAGCAATCTGAGCATTTAGTACTTTCTCAACGAAAGCACAATTGTACCTCTTCACAATGCCAATCCATGGTCCAGTAATATTCTTTAACTTAGGCGGTGGGTGCAGCTTCGTACATGCATCAGGAGGCATCACATATTGTGCATAGCCCTGTTGAAAATTCAGTATGAAATGGGGAAAGTCGAACACACATTTTCAATTACTGTATCAAAGAGAAAGTTATGAAAATTCCTTTTCTCCATTATTGACTTCTCTTCTGATACGTTAACAATTTAGCACCAACTGGCTGTCTCAACATTTTCATTATGCTTTCTTTATTTTCCACACCTATGTCTTCATGCATTTTCATATTCCACCCCTGCCATTGTCATACTACCATAGTATTTTATGAAGAAACTTTTTATTGAATTTTTTATGTACAGTACAATCAGTGACCAGTGACAATTACTTTTTTAATGAGCAAGCATTTTCCATCAAGGTAGGGTGACCAGAACCTTTCAGGGAACCAGGAAAAAAAAAATTATTACAGATAGCCAGACTGAGCACATATCTATTCCTTTAACCCTTTCGGTGGCCATCACGTAGAACTATGTCTCTGAGGCCTGAGTCCCTCACATTGTTCTACATCATGAGCACACAGCTCAATCAGAGAAGCTGAGAGTGGTAAATTTTTGGCCTAGATATAAGAGAATGCATCTGTGTGGGAAATGTGCACAGTATAAAATAAATCCTGCCCCATGTGGTACATGATAGGAAAAGCAAAACTCTGACCATGCGTTTGTTTTATATAGCCAATCTAAGGTGTTGTCTAGTATGTACAGTGGTCCCCTGCTTTTCGTAGTTCCCGGCAATCGTAAAATTCGCCAATCATAGGGGTATTTTCATATAAACATGGACTCGCTTTTCAAAGGTTGACTCGCGAGTCGTAGTTCGTCCGGGACGCGTACCCACGGCGTGAGCCAGGGCGGCAGCCAGTCTGGCATTGTTTACCAGTGAGCGAAGGTCCCCTCACGTGCTCCAGCGAAATATTTCATAATATTCCATTTATTTTAGTGCTTGCAAGTACTAAATAAGCTACCATGGCTCCAAAGAAATCTCCTAGTGCCAAGCCTGTGGTAAAGAAGGTGAAAAATACGATTGAATTTAAGAAAACCATCATTGAACAATATGAAAGTGGTACAAGTGTGGCCAAACTGTCCAGGATGTATAAGAAACCCTACACAACCTTATGTTCCATAGTGGCCAAGAAAAATGAAATAAAGGATGCTGTTGTTGCAAAGGGAGTAACTATGCTGACAAAAATGAGATCACCAGTACTGGAAGAGGTTGAGAAGTTATTATTGGTGTTGATAAATGAGAAACAATTAGCAGGAGATACTCTTATGACTTCGTTTATTTGTGAAAAGGCTAGGCAGTTGCATGAAGATTTGGTAAAGAAATTGCCTGCAAATAGTGGTGAAGCGAGTGAATTTAAGGCCAGCAAAGGCTGGTTTGAGAGATTTAAGAACCGTACTGGCATACACAGTGTGGTAAGGCATGGTTAAGCTGCCAGTTCGGACCACAAGGCGGCTGAAAAATGTGCATGAATTCCAGGAGTACATAGAGGCTGAAGGACTGAAACTTGTACAAGTGTTCAATTGTGATGAAACAGGCCTCTTTTGGAAGAAAATGCCAAAGAGAACCTTCATTACACAAGAGGAACAGGCAATGCCAGGACACAAGCCTGTGAAAGACAGGCTGACGCTAATGCTCTGTGCTAATGCTAGTGGGGATTTTCAAAGTGAAGCCATAACTAGTGTACCATTCTGAAAATCCCAGTGTTCTGGAAAAACAATGTTATGAAGAGTAAATTGTGTGTGTTTTGGAAATCTAATAGTAAGGCATGGGTCACGAGGGAAATTTTCGTCGAGTGGTTCAATGAAGTGTTTGGCCCTAGTGTGAAGGAGTATCTCCTGGAAAAGAAATTGGATCTCAAGTGCCTGCTAGTAATGGACAATGCACCTGCTCATCCTCCAAACTTGGATGACCTAATTTTCGAGGAGTTTGGGTTCATCACAGTAAAGTTCTTGCCCCTGAATACCAATCCTCTCCTCCAATCCATGGACCAGCAGGTTATTGCAAACTTTAAAAAACTCTATACACAAAAGCAATGTTTCATAGGTGTTTGACTGTGACTCACAGACACTCACTTGACCCTAAGGGAATTTTGGAGAGAACACTTCAGCATCCTCCACTGCATAACCCTTATAGGTATGGCTTGGGAGGGAGTGACTACCAGGACTTTGAACTCTTCCTGGAGAAAATTGTGGCCAGATTGTGTCGACAAGAGGGATTTTGAAGAATTTGGGACTGACCCTAATGAGCCTATGTCTGTTGTAAAATCAATTATGGCACTGGGGAGTTCCATGGGGTTGGATGTGAGTTTGGAGGATGTGGAAGAATTGGTGGAAGACCACAATGAAGAGTTCACCACTGAGGAGCTGCAAGAGCTTCAGCAGGAAAAGCAACACATCGCAGCTCAGAATCTTGCTGCAGAGGAGGAGGAAGAGAGATGAAAGAAGGTGCCTTCTTCAGAAATTAAAGAGATTTTTACTATGTGGGGTAAGATGGAAAGCTTTATGGAGAAACATCACCCTAACAAGGTTGTTGCAAGCCAGGTTGGCAACATGTACAGTGACAAAGTCTTGGGCCATTTTAGGGAAGTGTTAAAGAGATGCCAGAAACAGAGCTCTCTCCACAGTTGTTTTGTAAGACAGGACTCCAGTGACTCTCAAGGTGGTCCTAGTGGCATTAAGAAACAGAGAAGAGAAGCAACCCCAGAAAAGCAAATGGTACCTGAGGTGTTGATGGAAGGGGATTCCCCTTCCAAACTATAAACAATCCACTCTCTCTCCTCCTCCAGTCTCCCATACACTAAGAAGAATCTCCAATAAAGGTAAGTGTTATGCTGTTAATGTTTCATTCATCATTTCCCATTTATTGTTTATGTACTACATGTATATTTCATGTTAAAAAAAAATTTTTTTTAATACTTCTGGGTGTCAGGAACGGATTAATTGTATTTACATTATTTCTTATGAGGAAAATTGATTCGTAAATCGTAAATTTCGTTTATAGTAACGGCTCCAAGAATGGATTAATTACGAACAACGAGGGACCACTGTATTTTATGGTGTTATTGGTATCATTTGATAGAATGGATGATTTTGCTTGGTTTCAAGACCAGAAGTAGCTTAAAATCGGACTCAAAGTAGCAGATTATTATACCCAAAACTGAAGCACTAAACCCACAATAGATTTTTTGCAGATTTTTCCTGAGGATAGGTAAGGACCCCCTATACCTCCCAGTCTGTTTTATGGGTTTTTAATAGGTCTGATTCAATTATCTGTATGCCATAAACCATGTCCAATTATTCCTATAGTTTTTTTTTATTATTATCACACTGGCCAATTCCCACCAAGGCAGGGTGGCCCAAAAAAGAAAAACTTTCACCATCATTCACTCCATCACTGTCTTGCCAGAAGGGTGCTTTACACTAGAGTTTTTAAACTGCAACATTAACACCCCCTCCTTCAGAGTGCAGGCACTGTACTTCCCATCTCCAGGACTCAAGTCCGGCCTGCCGGTTTCCCTGAACCCCTTCATAAATGTTACTTTGCTCACACTCCAACAGCAGGTCAAGTATTAAAAACCAGTTGTCTCCATTCACTCCTATCAAACACGCTCACGCATGCCTGCTGGAAGTCCAAGCCCCTCGCACACAAAACCTCCTTTACCCCCTCCCTCCAACCTTTCCTAGGCAGACCCCTACCCCGCCTTCCTTCCACTACAGATTGATACACTCTTGAAGTCATTCTGTTTCGCTCCATTCTCTCTACATGTCTGAACCACCTCAACAACCCTTCCTCAGCCCTCTGGACAACAGTTTTGGTAATCCTGCACCTCCTCCTAACTTCCAAACTACGAATTCTCTGCATTATATTCACACCACACATTGCCCTCAGACATGACATCTCCACTGCCTCCAGCCTTCTCCTCGCTGCAACATTCATCACCCATGCTTCTCACCCATATAAGAGCGTTGGTAAAACTATACTCTCATACATTCCCCTCTTTGCCTCCAAGGACGAAGTTCTTTGTCTCCACAGACTCCTAAGTGCACCACTCACCCTTTTCCCCTCATCAATTCTATGATTCACCTCATCTTTCATAGGCCCATCCGCTGACACGTCCACTCCCAAATATCTGAATACATTCACCTCCTCCATACCCTCTCCCTCCAATCTGATATCCAATCTTTCATCACCTAATCTTTTTGTTATCCTCATAACCTTACTCTTTCCTGTATTCACTTTTAATTTTCTTCTTTTGCATACCCTACCAAATTCATCCACCAATCTCTGCAACTTCTCTTCAGAATCTCCAAAGAGCACAGTGTCATCAGCAAAGAGCAACTGTGACAACTCCCACTTTATGTGTGATTCTTTATCCTATAGTTTATTATCTGGAAAATAAGAGTAAATCTTCTATTTGTGTGATTAATTCAAAATAGAAGGCAAGGGGACATGATTAATAAACAGAAATGTTGTTTTAGTGCCAGAAATGTCTACACAGCTTATTCTGAACTATATTTAAATTGGTAATTTTTTTAATTGTAAAACTAGCCAAATTACCAACTTCTGTGCACTTCATGGGATAATTGTTAATAGCTGGTTGTGAAGTTTCTTGTGCTCTATCAGTAGAACAGAAGGCATACTAGCAAAATAACTAAGAATTTTGTCGAATGGAGTAGTGGAAATGATTCGCAATAGGACAAAGTCAGCAAAATTGCGCTGAGACCGCTAAATTTGAACCTGCATAATTCCAAAAGTTTTCCATTAAATTTCATACTTTTAGTGACATTACCTTCAGAAAAAGATTCTCTACAGTAACAGTGAAAGGGTCAAGTTTCCTAGCATTTTGGTAGCAGTGCACTGTAGATTATTATTATAATCAAGGGGGAAGCGCTAAACCCGGAGGATTATACGGCGCCTGGGGGGGGATGTGAAAGGCATTCAGGCTTAATTCAGGGAACTGGAGCACAGATCCAATTCCCTAAATCAAGAGCCCCTCACCAACATCAAGGAACCTTCCTTGAGGGGAGTGCACT